TTTTTCGTTCCTGCTTCTTCAGTCTAGGACACCTTAATGGAAAATTCCTCTTGGGGTCGTTCACAGATTTCGTTCACCTGTGTTCGTCCAAGGGTGCCGAGACAATTAGTTTGGGGATGGGGGTGGGTTGGTTAATTGGATCTAACGCTACTTGGATTTTGTACTTTTAGACCCAGGCGATTTCGCTGATAACTGCACACCGCCTCGTGTCATCTCGGCTGATCTAAGATCTAACTTCCCTAAGGGGAAGGAAAGCCGGTGAAACCGAGGCATTCTAGGCGTTAACAAGGACATGAACAGTGCGTGTTCGATAGCCAATGGCCCACGTAATAGATTATAACGCCCGGCATGTGGTGTGCGCAAAAGGAACCTTAATAAACGAAGATTGAAAGCCGCATACTCTGGGAATTCTTAGTGTGTAGGAACCTACGTAAAACCAAATACGGCTAAACACATGAGCAAGGAAACATCAAACCAGGAGTCAAATAAACCTTTTAAAAACACCAAAACATCCCTGAACCCGTTCAAGCTGCTATTACAACCAAACACTGAAGGGAAAAAAGGGGAAAACATACCACATGGACAGCAGCTGTAGCAGCACATCCGCGGCCGTGGCACCCGTGTAATTGTGGCCCATCGCTATGAGCAGACTTGTTGTCAGATAAGGGGACCGTTGAAGAAGCTGATTCGGTTGAAGAGAAACCATGTTTTGAATGTAGCACAAATTGGAACACGGTCACCAGAAACAGCTCACTACTTCAAAATAAAACAGCTAAGCGAAAACCCTCGTTCAATTTTTTCAAGAAACAACCTACTATTCGCGTTGATTCAAGCTAAGCCAGCTGGACAGAAACCACATACAGAGCAGCCAAATTTGGGTTCGCTGGTCTCTGAAAGTGAAAACATACTGCTTACTTCATCCAGGCAGGTCAAATGAGGATCTGCAAACGACATAACCCATCTTCTTAAGTAAGGGAGGAACGCGACTGCATGCGAGACTGAACTACACCTAGCGTCTCTAATCAATAAGTTGATCCATTAAGCTGTCAACGAGACAGAGTTAACGAGTCGCGACTCTTATGTTTCACCGCCCAGATAACAACTAACATCTCATGGACAGTTCTGACTTCGCAACAACGTTGGTCGAGAACTCTGTCGTCCAAAATACGCGAGGGAGAAAAACTTTTAAGTGAATACCTATCGCCTGTATTCCGTTTCACCTACAACGAAAGCGACATACGAATATTCACGCTGGTAGACTGAGTTCCTTGTTCCTGAAACATTGTTCTTTACCGGTTTCATTGCGAAATCAATTTATTGGTGTAGTAAATTTACAAAAACTCCAGAAGTGTTATTCTTCCGTTGGGAAACTGTCCAAATGAACTTATCACAGGAGGCCTCTAGCAAAATTATTTTTTCCATGTGTTAGACTGGATAAAAAATCGTGAAATTCAGTGGAGATATATCACCGTTGTTAGTGAAGTCCGTACAGAAGACAGCGGTGTTGGTTATGTGGAAAAGATCTCAGAGGAGGACAGAAGGCATGAATTGTCATGAGCTGCCACTGTTGATCTACAGGGGAAGCCAGCAGCATAGGTGGGATACCGCAGGATAGAACCGTCACACACAGGATAATTTTTCCAGATTAAGCCCAAAAACATTCCATAATGCAAAAAACACGGGACGAAAACACTGTTAAGCGACAGTAACTTACCTTGACAGGCCCCAAAAACTTTAGTACAGGCATCAAACAGTGGAGTCGACCCTTTGACAAAAGCACGGGCCCGGTAGCAGCCAAAGGGCCCATTAAAATGTGTTGGACGAAAACACTGTTAAGCGACAGTAACTTACCTTGACAGGCCCCAAAAACTTTAGTACAGGCATCAAACAGTGGAGTCGACCCTTGGACAAAAGCACGGGCCCGGTAGCAGCCAAAGGGCCCATTAAAATGTGTTGATCAATAAGCGTTTCAGTCATCCAGTCGTGGAATGTTCCGGAAACTCCTGCGGGTTCCATTGAGAACAGGGCATCGAGGAATTTTTTCATATTTTTGATAACCAAATGATCCTCGGATTCCCAGTGAAGCAGCACGCTCATGGATACTTGCTGAGCCGTCTCCTGAATAGGATGTAAGCAGCACCGGCCATCAATGAATGCAGAACGATGACGCGAAAACGATGCACGTGTAAAGCACGTGGTGGACCAAAAATTGTGAATGGGTTGGCTTAGGACAACTAGTGACAAATCGTGCTGAGCAACCGGGAGCCCATGTACCATGTATACGGACGGACTATATGCACTCCACTCACAGATGACGTACTCCCATTATAGATGCGAAGGTCTGTTGAATAGAGTCGCTCAGGCAGAATTGTTTACTGGATATATTTCAACACGCAGTAGAACTATCTATTTATCATTGTATCGCAGTAAAGAATGAAGCACAAAAGATAAGGGGGACGATAAATAGCATCAAATTCCGTTACAACTACAGAGCAACCTTCTGTAGCACAGTGACAGTACACCACGAAGCAACTCTCCAATCAGCCCTTGGTTCTGTCATAATCTGGTCGGACTCACCGTTTTGCGGAGCAACTGTTGCTTAAAAAGGCAACCGATGGTCAATCGAAGGAAACCACACAGGTAGGTAAAAGATGAAGTGTTCAGCTGCTCAGCCAAATGAATAATCAGTGTCTCCAGGAAGCTGCCCCAATTGGCGCTCCGGAATAAATGCACATACCTGTTCTCTCATATATCTTGGGGTCATCACAATGAAAAACGCTTCCGAGACCACAGCATTGCCTCGTCCGCTTTTGTGAATATTCACCGACAGTCAATCCCGAGAAGATCGAAGCCGGTCGCTGGTTGTTCGGTTTTCACCAACCTCATAAGTAGTGTTGAATGCAACTGCACTCAGATTCAGACATTTTCACACGCAGAGTCTACTAGGCATTTTTTCCACTTGATATTTCCGGATCTTGATTGCAGTCTTTTTGCTCCGTTCCTGAACAGCTAAACTGAACTGGTGTCGTCTCACATCATCCTTCGTACCTATTTGGTATGCTAGGATTCTGTTCATCTGCTTCGTAAGTCTACTTTCCATTGTCCCCATCTTATTCAAGCTGCCGAAGTTATTGTCACCCTGCCGGGTAATTGAAAGCACTGCTTTCGACACAACTATCGTACCACGTGTAGGTCACAAACAAGTTCTAGCAGCTCCAGTTGCGTTCACCACCGATACAGGAGACGGGGTGTATTGGAGTCAGCTATTAGTGTCGCTGGTGCATAATTACGGCATCCGTTATCTGTTAACCAAGACAGGATGAGTGATTCTTGCAGGCTCTTGATGGACCACAGTAAACTTATTACAGTTGGACTAGAAGATTTATTTGTAAGCGCGGCAAATACGTGTGCAGTTCGCGGTCACCGTCGTGTCACGATGCTTGTTTTTCAGCCACCTTTAGATCATTACTATATACGGAACCCGGTGACCGTACAACACGAAGCAACTCTCCAATCAGCACTTGGTTCTGTCATAATCGGGTCGGATTCACTGTTTTGCGGAGCAACTGCTGCTTAAAAAGGCAACCGATGGTCAATCGAAGGAAACCACACAGGTAGGTAAAAGATGAAGTGTTCAGGGGGACGATAAATAGCATCAAATTCCGTTACAACTACAGAGCAACCTTCTGTAGCACAGTGACAGTACACCACGAAGCAACTCTCCAATCAGCCCTTGGTTCTGTCATAATCTGGTCGGACTCACCGTTTTGCGGAGCAACTGTTGCTTAAAAAGGCAACCGATGGTCAATCGAAGGAAACCACACAGGTAGGTAAAAGATGAAGTGTTCAGCTGCTCAGCCAAATGAATAAGCAAAGTGTCTCCAGGAAGCTGCCCCGATTGGCGCTCCGGACTAAATGCGCACATACCTGTTCTCTCATATATCTTGGGGTCATCACAATGAAAAACGCTTCCGAGACCACAGCATTGCCTCGTCCGCTTTTGTGAATATTCACCGACAGTCAATCCCGAGAAGATCGAAGCCGGTCGCTGGTTGTTCGGTTTTCACCAACCTCATAAGTAGTGTTGAATGCAACTGCACTCAGATTCAGACATTTTCACACGCAGAGTCTACTAGGCATTTTTTCCACTTGATATTTCCGGATCTTGATTGCAGTCTTTTTGCTTCGCTCCTGAACAGCTAAACTGAACTGGTGTCGTCTCACATCATCCTTCGTACCTATTTGGTATGCTAGGATTCTGTTCATCTGCTTCGTAAGTCTACTTTCCATTGTCCCCATCTTATTCAAGCTGCCGAAGTTATTGTTGCCCTGCCGAGTAATTGAAAGCACTGCTTTCGACACAATTATCGTACCACGTGTAGGTCACAAAAAAGTTCTAGCAGCTCCAGTTGCGTTCACCGCCGATACAGGAGACGGGGTGTATTGGAGTCAGCTATTAGTGTCGCTGGTGCATAATTACGGCATCCGTTATCTGTTAACCAAGACAGGATGAGTGATTCTTGAAGGCTCTTGATGGACCACAGTAAACTTATTACAGTTGGACTAGAAGATTTATTTGTAAGCGCGGCAAATACGTGTGCAGTTCGCGGTCACCGTCGTGTCACGATGCTTGTTTTTCAGCCACCTTTAGATCATTACTATATACGGCTTCTGAATCGATCTGTCTTCTCTGGAACAAAACAGTTGTGAAATTCCAACTCTGCTCTCTGGTCCATTGTAGTCCTCCGAGAAGTCACCTATTGGTCTACTTGTTGTCCTTCCTTGTGCACACGGAGCATTTTCGTGCTCGGCAATTCACATCCTCATGATACAACAGGAAGGGGAGGGTCCTCGCAAAGTCAACAAACTGCTTTCATAATTAGTCCTGGTGAATTATGTCAGTTTTGGTATTCATCAAAATGAGGACTGCCCGTCCGATCTAACAAATAACAAGCTAACCAAAACAGAACAAAAGAATTAGAATCGAATGGACCTACAGCGTCATGATCCCAAAAATCCGATGCTAAACAGCTCGTGTAGAAATACATCGAGGCAACTCACCATAAGATGACAAACCATTCGGCTTGCGTCGAGAAGCCAGAATTCGGATGCACTGACCAACAGTG